CGTCGCAGGACGATAGGGAGCCAAATATTAACTAAGAGTAAAGCTATACGCACTACGTCGTGCATCTCGACTGGAAATGTATATACGCACAACGCGGAGAGCTCGTGCAATTTCGGTCGCCCTTTTAGGACGGCGCGTGTATCACTGGGGAGCGCATTAACCAATCCCCCCGCCTGCGTTCACGCCGCTTTGACAGTCTGGGGCTGCTAGTCACAAACCTACTAACCCATTTGGCCCACTGTACACGCCGTCCAGCCGACAACTCAAGCCCACCGTCTCCCATTGCACCTCTGGAAATAGTCTCATACCATTTAGTTAGACAGTTGTCGCCCAAATTTCGCTGAACGAAATGGTATGGGACTTAGTTTCCGGAGGTGCAACGGGTACAGCGGGGCTTGGTTTGCCGGCTGGACGCCGCGAAGCGGCGTGTATGACAGGGCCAAATGGGTCAATAGTTTAGTAATTAGCAACCGCATACTGTCGCCGCGAAGCGGCGTGAACGCAGGCGAAGCGGCGTGAGGTGTGTTAACGAGCTCCTCAGTGAGACACGCGCCGTCCGACTCTCGGACGGCAATTGTAGGCGCGATTGGAGTGCCGTGAGACGGCACTGTGGACACAGCCTTTTTATTACCACTCCAAAAATAAGTAAAAAAAGGCATACAAAATTTCTGGTGAACGCTGAAACTTCAAAGCCTTGCCCGCAGGCATTTAACATGAAGCAACTTACCTCCGAGTTTGAGGATCTTTCCCTTGTAGAAGCCGCGCTGGGTGCCGTCCTCGGCCATCCAAAAGACCATCTTCGTCTTTTGATGATTAAAGTCTTCTACATGTTCCGGCGTAAACCGTTTAATTAGCGAAATAGGAACTATAGCTTTGTGCTTGTCCTCGTACCGCACGTACGCAAACATGCTCACGGTCGGCGAACAAAAAGTATATAATATAAAGAAATATATAAAAAAAAGAAAATAAGACACGTTAATAAACACAACTAAGAAATGAAATCCCCAAATATTATATCTAAAAACTAAAAGAACAATGCTTACTGAGCAAAAACAAGAAAGACCGTGACGCGCGGGAAGTTTCGGGACGGGGAAGCAATTAAGGGAAGACGCGTCGGGTTTAGTTAGCCATAGTCATAGCTGTAGCCAAACTTGGCCGTAGCTAATGTTGATTGTAGTCAGTTAAAAAATAACAACCTTCTTAAAGTAAGAGTAAGATTTCTTGTGGAATCTGAAGTTCCTTTAGTCAAAAACCCATCGTGGTTATATCTTTGCAGCGTGGATGTTTGTTATAAACAAATTGACTTCTGTTAATACTCATTTTCTAGTTTCGGTTTCGTGTTGTCGCGGTTTCTGGACCTGCCAGTCAGGCCGCCAGAGGAGTCACCCGTCGCGATCGTTGCTGAACCGCTTCTTGCGCCCTGCTGCTTGTTTGCGATCCTTGATTTTGACTCATCGCGGAACCTCTGTTCTTGATAGTTGATTCTGACTCATCGCGGAACCTCGTTTTGTTTTATCGTGCTTCCTGTTCTGGATTGGTGATTTTGACTCATCGCGGTACCTCGTTTTGTTTTCCCGTTCTCGACTCTCTCGTCGGAGCACCTTTTTTTGTGCTCTTGTGCTTCGATCGTGTTCTCGTTCGTTGGATTTCCACTCATCACAGAACCTCGTTTCATTTTCTCGTGAATTTGACCTCGATTGTTTATTTGCACTCGTCGGGGAACCTCGTCTTATGCATCTTGTTCTCGGTGGTTTACTTTGACTCGTCGCGGAACCTTGTTTCGTTTTCGCGAGTTCTTTGTTGACTCTCGCTCCACCTCGGTTTGTGCTGTTGATTTTCTGGATTGTTAACTTTCATCTTTGCATCCCATTATCTATTTATCAATACAGGCTCGTCGCGCGCCCGGCTCGCCCGGCTGGCCCTCTTGACTTCGCGCGGAAATGAGTTTTTGTTTCGTATGAACTCCTTGCGCGAATCGTTCAGCGTCGTCGCTTCGTCTCCGTTCTTTCACGATGGAAGACGACGGCCGACCGAACCGAAGAAAGAGATATATCGAAAAAGGTACAGAATACATTGTGCCAAAGTCTACGCTGCACTACCAGAAGACAGCGCGGATGTCCACGTCTGCTCCAAGTCCAGCAACTTCACCGAACTTGTCGCCCGAGCTGACTCGCCGTTCGACCTCGAGCACCGACACACCCCAAGAGGGCACGCCAGCGTCCGACGGTGACCTGACCGCGTCCGATGAGGAACAGCAGTGGGGAGGAGGAGGTGAAGATGCACACTTGCTGTCAGACTTCGAAGGAAGCATGTCGGAAGACAACAATCCGTCGGAGGATGGCCCCTTCACGTCGGAAGATGACACCTTCGCGTCGGAAGATGACACCTTCGCGTGGGAAAGCAGCTGTCCACGTGACTTTGTGTCCGTCACTACGGACGATGAGCTGATGGAGCAGTGTTTTGCCCATTTCGGCACTTCGACCCTACCCCACTCGAGCACAACCACAGCATCTGCCGTCGCAATGCTTATGTCTCTTGTTCACGCCCACAATTTTACGTGGACTGCGTTGGATGACATCCTTAAAGTGGTAAACAAAATGTTTGGACAGGAGGAGGATGTTCTTCCAGGTACTAAATACCTGTTCCGAAAGTTGTGGGCTCGAAAAACTTCGGGTATGTCAAAGAAATTTTTCTACTGCGAGAGTAACAACTGCACTGGATTGCTTGAGCCTGACCAGTCGGGGAAGTTAACATGTGCCGTGTGCCAGGCCTCTGCTGATGGTGATGCAGTTCTCAAGGCTGGGAGCTACTTCACGATCCTGAATGTGCGGGAGCAGGTTAAACATGTCATATCCAAAACCAAGCAAGCTCTCAGCGAACACCTCACTCTCCTTGAGACACTCACGGACAGTCCAGACGTGAAGGACATAACCAGCGGTTCTGCGTACCGGAGCCTCAAAGAGACCGGCGTGCTAAAGACGGGTGACCTGACGTTAACTGTCAACACCGATGGGAGCCCGGTGTTCAAGTCCTCCAACTCCTCAATCTGGCCAATCCAGTTTACAGTCAGTGAGCTTCCACCCGAGAAAAGGTTCACCAACACAACGCTCGCTGGATTATGGTGTGGGAAGAAGCATCCCAACATGCTGCAGTTCATGAGCAAGTTTGCCGATGTGTTGGTGGACGTGGAGCCAATTCAGTGGACGTGCGGAACAGTCAACCACACTTCAAAAGTGCACCTCCTCTGCTGCTGTGCAGATGCCCCTGCACGTGCAGCTGTGCAGAACCACGTACTGTACTCGGGGTATTTCGGATGCCCCTGGTGCCTGATCAGAGGAGAACACATTGGAGGTAAGCTGATAGCAAGGCTGTCCCTACCTTTGTTATTCATTATATGTTCAATGCAGCATGCTGACATTGAATTAAACATATTTTATTTTATAAGCCACTGCATTCATCGCTCAAAGAACACTTGTTCAGGATCCAGATTTCGCACATTTTTGCAGCTATTTTTGCATTAACCTTGTGTTTCTGCAGTACACTATACTTCGTTTCACGTTATGTTGTACCGCAGCGAACGCTAGAAGCGCGAGCTTATAGCGTTGGCAGCCGCTCTTAACTCACGAGAGCTTGTGCCGCTGAGGTGTGCCCCAGAGCAAGGAGCTCGCGCTTGCAGCCTTTCCTGCGGTACATCATAAGGTGAAGCAGAGTATAGTATGCATTTCACTTGGAGCATGAGGTATGGCTTTTCTCTTGAAAAATGATGTTAGCCGACAAACAAAATCGCTAATTAAATTTTTTTGTTGCAGGCTGCATACGCTACATTCAGGAGGACCCGGAGCCAGCTGGGAGGACAGCAGAGTCAGTGGCAAGGGACGCCAAGCTTGCCGAGAGGTTCCGCGAACCCGTGGAAGGCGTTAAAGGGGTATCTGCTCTTGCCGCAGTCCCCAACTTCGACCCTGTCTGGGGATACCCAGTCGATTATATGCATTGTGTCTTGCTGGGGGTCACAAGGCAAATAACGGAGCTGCTTGTAGCGTCTTCAAACTCGGAGTGCCAGTTCTACATTGGTAAGCTTGACAGCTTAATTACGGTTCTTGGCTTGAGGCTCTACTGCTGTGTGTACACTGTATACTATCTCTTATTCTGACAGGGCAGCTCAGTCATCTATGCATGGGCATGAGCACTTTTAACTTTGGCTCTGCTGCATGACCAGTCTTGCACAATTAACTGTAAATTATGTTATTTTTACTAGCTTGATCTTCTGCAAATGTATTGCTGGCCAGGGTGTCCAAATATTGCATCCATGCTAAGCTTTCTTAAATTGAAGGGGCCGAAGTGTTAGAAACTCAACAAAGTATACTTGACAAATAACGTTTCCTTGTTGCAGCTTGGAGCATGAGGTAGGAATTAACTATCCATCTGTGGTTGCACTATGTGTGGGTTGCATGGCACAGGGACATCAGCCCACAAAGCCCTACTGCAGAGAATGTTCTGTTTCACAGAATGGCTACAGCATTTTTCCTGCACTGTGTATGTGTGGTCTCTCTTTCTGCTTCATTTTTTTTTTTTTTGTTTATGTAGGAGGCTATGCTACTGCATAAACCTGGCAGTTGTATTCTCCTCGCCTTCTCTTGCCCTGTCACTCCTTCAGCACTCTTCTCTGAGGCAGCACATCTGTTGCCATGCCTACCGTCTAAACTCTCCCCATGCCCCAATAGCTCGCCCAAGCAAGCTGACAGCCAGAGATGCTACTCATGAGAAATTATCAATTTTTGTGACTTGTTCTAGTGGCTGGCAGACAGTACACAATAAGTAAAATTCGGTTTGGATGCTTCAAGACGAGTTAGACAGGAACTGTTATTAATATTTATTGGACAAGCAAGAATGGTAAAAAGGGGAGCCTGAATGATTATAACGTTAATATAGGGCAGAATTTTTTTCGAAGCCTAAAAATTCTGACATCGTTAGTGTTTGACCTAACCATGCCACTGATAGAAAGTTTGTGAAGTTGCTATATTATATTTTGCACATCCAGGGAAACCAGCAGTGCTCGGTGTGGTGAACCAGCGGCTACTCAAGATCAAGCCTCCTCACTGCATCACCCGGCTCCCGAGATCCATCCTCGAGAGGGCTTTCTGGAAAGCTAGTGAGTGGAGGCTCTGGCTCCTTTTCTACTGCCTTCCCTGCACTCTTGGTGTGCTGCACCCCCGCTTCTGGAGGCACCTGGCTCGGCTTGCGGAGGCTGTTCACCTCCTGCTGCGCATGGAGATCAGCCCGTCTCAGATTAATCGTGCTGGTAAGCAAAGAGTTTGTCTGTCACACTACCTTGTGCAGTATGAATTACTGCAACCAATCATTCTGCTAACATTGTTCAAGAGGTGATGTTTTGCTCTAGGTGAGGAGCAGTGACTAGGCCTTCTCTTATCTTGGTGCTGGTAATTCAGGGCTGGTAATTTAAGCCTCGGTTTGGTCGGGCAGTTCGGGGTATTTTTTACATATTGTGCTATCGGGGAAAAATGAAATGCAAACAGAGGAGCGCGTGGCTCGCGGTACAGGCTGCGCCACTTGGAAGTGAGCCTAGGGGCGAGGGTGCGTGGCCTGCTCTGATGTGTTCACGCCCTTCGCACTGCGCTCCCCAAGCTTCGGCAGCACGCTTCTCAGTGCGCTGAAAGCTATCACTGCTATCTTTGCTCGCTCGGCGCGTGCAGCGAGCTTCTTCGCACCGCACGCGCTGAGCCAGCAAAGATAGCGGTGATAGCTTTCAGCGCACTAAGAGGCGCACTGCTGAAGCTTGGAGAGCGCAGAGGGAGGGGCGTGAACACATCGGAGTAGGCCACCCACCTTCGTCCCTAGGCTCACTTCCAGGTGGCGCAGCCTGTACCGCGAGCCACGCGCTCCTCTGTTCACATTTCATTTTTCCCCGATAGTACATATTTTTCTTTTGAGTATTATGTTAGACCTAACCATTAGCTTTCTCTTTTTTAGCTTAATTATTTCTGTAATTTGCCTCAAGTTATAGTAAACTTTGGAAAATTAAATCATCCTTTCCAGGTTAATTTGAATATACACAGGCTTACGAATTGTTTGTTTCCTACATGTGCAGCATTTTGTGCATCACAGACTGGGTCTGATAGCACATATTTGTGGCATAGCTTTTCATCTTGCTTAGAAAAGCATTCAGACTTTGTGCCTCTTCGTTTAACCATCAAAGTTAAACCAGTCAAAGATCCTGTGCGATTGCAGATGCCACTGGTGCAGCACCTGCTGCAACACGTCAAGCTTGCCTCCAGCAGCGTAGTTGGCTTTTTCCGCATGAAGAATGACAGCCCTCATAGTCTTAAAGAAGCGCTGAAAACTTAAACTGCTCAGACCACGTGTCAATACAGAGAGGTGTGGCTGGCACCTTTAACACGGTCGTGTGGTCCCAACGAGGCACTGCAGACACTCCAGACGCTCAAACTCTAACATGGGTTGTGTGCAGGCAGGTAGCCAGGGGGGTGGAACCATAGAGCCCGGCCCCCCCCCCCCCCCCCCCCCCCCCCCGAAATCTTCCATTTTGCTGGGGCCTCCTCTCTCCCCTCCCCGTTATGCAGCATTTCGTCATGGGCGGGCCCCTTGAATCAGAATTCTGGCCACATGCCTGGTTGTGTAACTACATAGTAGTGTGACCGTGCGAACAGAGGGCATTCCAACTTCCAGTAGGTGGTTTGGTGTGCCCTTGACATCAACTGCTGCCACTCCCGTGACTCGGTACGCTGTCACGCGGCTGCTTGGCTGCAGTGTACTGCTGTACCGCGCGCCCTTCACTGCCATATGTTCATTCCGTGCATTCCATGCCAATGTGTTGTTTCGGTATACCTGCATGTGCAGTTCAAAAATGAAAGAGCTTGTAAAACAAACAGGCAAATGCCGCAAACCTACTGGTACAGCCGACAGAACCTGTAGCAAAGCTAGGTATTCCGAAATTGCGACTGTTTTGTCTTTGTCAGCGGTAAGATGCTTATTAGTTCTGAATATAACTTGACCCCTCGCAATTCAGATTTCGAAGAAACTAAAAATGGTTCCACCAATAATCATGTAATAATGGCATACATATAAATTGTTACTACATCGTACACCACCTTTTTCTATGTTCTTTGCAGAAACACTGCTCAAGAAGTTCGTGGCGCAGGTTCCCGTCCTCTACGGTCAGGCAGCCATGACCTTCAACGTCCATCAGCTGCTGCACCTGGCGAACACGGTCCGACGCATGGGGCCGCTCTGGGCCAACTCGGCCTTTACGTTCGAGTCTGGCAACGGCCAGCTTTTGCGGCATGTGACGGCAGCCAAGGGCGTCCCTGGGCAAGTGATTGAGCGTGCGATGATGGCCCAAGAGTTGGACCTTGTCCTGAGCCATCAGCTTCTGCCCCAAGACACTAAGGTCTTCTGTAAAAAGATGTTGGGCTATGCCCACATCAAGGAGGCGTCTTACACGCCTGGGGCCTGCCTTTTGGGCAGTGCCAAGCCGGGACTTGACTTCTCACAGGATGAAGTCACTGCCCTGCAGGAAACTCTCAGTTTCTGCCCATCACCAGTGATGGAGCATGAACGCCTGATCCTGGCAGGGCAGCTGTGCCACAGCATGAAGTACACGCGAGCAAAGAGGAGGAATTCCTCTATCATCCAATGCAAGGATGGTCGGTTTGGTGGAATTTGGCGGGTACTTTATCTACGAGATGAGGATGAGTGTGTGATCCTGTGCAAGGAGCTTGTGCGCAAGGAATCCAGCTTGCATTTTCCAGGACACATTGTTGAGATGGTGATGATGCCAGAAGACATATTTATGGCTGTGAAGCCAGACGACGTGGCCCAGGTGTGCCTTGAACTTAACTTTGTGCAGGATGGAGCTCTATATGTCTGCTTGCTTCCCAACAGCATTGAGCGTGACTAAATGAAGTCTGCCACCAACCACCATTGGCGCCCGTCTGTTCAGGCTTGTGCCCCGTGGCGCCACCACCTCTCATCGGCATGTGAGACGCTCTTTAGTTCCGCAGGCCCGCGTGGGCTCTGCTCTTCTTTTATTTTTACGGGTTCCCGATTTTTGGTGAAGAGCGATTTACAACAAAAGGGAGAGCACATCAGGTGCATGCAAGTGTCTGAAAACAAGTAAAGTAATCCCTCGTTATGGAGATCGCTTTTATCAAAGTTCAACATGGTCCCGACCAAGATGCACACATTTTTTACCAGATTATTTGAAGCGTATCGGCGGCCGACCATGCTTGTTACGAAGGCCGCGGTGCCAAAAGCATGCAAACCTACACGGGGGCACATGGAAACCCTTGCGTTCCCTCGCTCTCCACCGAGGCAAAGAAGAGACTGGGAAAATGGCAAACAAGAAAACAAAGTAAGCGGGTGATGGAGGGCAGACTGTGTAGAGCGCCACTTCCGATGTCGATGCGGGGACGCTGCCAGACTCCTCTCGGAATTGGGTCAAGGGATCGATGAACTCGGAAAAGATAATCCCTTCGGGAGCCTTGATGCGCGCGCACCTGCAACATACTACATGCACACATGCGTCGTATGGGAGATTTGGAGTGTTTACCAAAAGTCACTTAGATCTGCGAGGTTGAGAAAAGTGGCCAATTCAAGTCCGAAATCGCCAAAAAATTCTACATTCCGGCATCGGCTGTTCGACACTGTCCACCATTTTGCAGAACGAACAAGGTATTGGACGGATTCGAGTCGTTCCTTATGCAAGAGAAAGCGCGCGCCCACTACCCAAAGATGAAACATTGCCAACTGCCTTGCGCATAATGGATTTTCTCTCATGAGCATGCTTGCCAAGCCGGCGCACGATTGCCACAGCTGCAATGATCTCTACAGGAGTGTGTAAGAACATGTTGGCAAAGCCACCGAGGATAACTTAGATTCGTTTGCGTTTGTCAATGCGAACATCCCGTTGTTGGTCCTGCCACGGATGCCGCAATCGTAGACCTTGCGTGCGGCTAGGGTAAACACGAAGCGATGTCCGAGGGGCACCTCGGGAGATGCTGATGACTGCGGAGGCGCGAAACATCCTGTTGCTGCTTCGAAACAAAGTGGAGCGCAGCAGCGGTGACTGTGTTTGTGCAATGCCTAGAGCAGTTCAAGGAGAACTGATGCCTAGAC